GCAGATTCTGTGATAAATATCCAGAAACCATTGATCATTTTGTATCAGGTTGCACGATATTGGCACCAACTGGGTATAAAACCCGGCATGATAGAGTGGGCCAATATCTGCACTGGAAAATCTGCAACTTCTACGGGAAGGAAACTGAAAGAAAGTGGTATGAACACCACCCAGACCCGGTTACGGAGATAGGACCTGTTACAATTCTATGGGACTACACAATACACACTGACAGAACAAACAAAGCCAACCGCCCAGATATTGTTCTTAGAGACCACAAACAAAAAAAGTGCCTCCTTATTGGTATGGCAGTCCCTGCTGACTACAATGTATCTTTGAAGATATTCAAAAAGCTGTCAAAATACAAGGACTTTGAAATAGAAATCTCAAAAATGTGGCATATGGGAACATCAACAATCCCTGTTGTAGTTGGAGCCCTAGGACTGGTTGGAAAAGATAGCAAAAATACTAAACGGCAGTTAACAATAGATTTCGTACAAATATCCACGTTTGGAGGAGATTTTTTCCTAAACACGTTTATTAAATACAATAAAAAATAACAGCCAAATTTTAACGAGTATAAATAATCACGCTGAAAACTTCATCGGAATTTCTGATCGTTGTACTTCAGAAACAGTCGTAGAAGAGGAAACCATGTTTTTTATGCCCCAATATGTCAATTCCTTCATAAATTCAAAGAGGAACTATGATTATGTAAATTACTAGCGTCCCATCCCGGAAAGAATGATCCAAATGACAGGGAAATGCCAATAGATTTATACTAAACTGTTTATCTAATTAATAGCTATTACCAACTAATCGACTCAAATAATAATAATAATAATAATAATGCTTTTATACTGATATGGCAGTTCTTTGCTTTCTTATCGACATGAAGTTCCTGCAGACTGTATTTTTGAAGATCTTCAAAAAGCAATCAAAAAACAAGGATCTTAGGGTGGAAATCTCAAAAATGTGACACATGTGGACATCAGTAATTCCAGTTATAGTTGGAGCACTCGTAGTGATTGGAAAATATTCCGATAGATTCATTGATAAAATTGTTGGTAGCTCATGCCTTAAAGAATTACAAAAATTGTACTCGCAATTACAGCTGACGCCTAACGAAAGGCTTTATCTATGTGCCTGATCTTAGGTAGTCCATTTTTTATATATAAAAATGTCCAGGGGAAAATGTCACAATGCCATTTCTGACCTTAGGTCTCTGGGTGGGACCCGGAATAAAATGAGTATACAACAGAAACCAAAGAAAATAATAATAATAACAGCAACAACAATAAATGTAGCAATAATAATAATAATAGTTTTAAAAGAAAAAATGATCATGTATAAAGTGAATCTTAATTTAGCAAAGTTACGTATAATGTTGTAGATAAGGCAATATAAAACCTTATAAAAACAACATAAAGTATATATGCATTATATATGTATATATAATATCGTACTTTCACTATTTTTTTAATTTCATTATTTACTATGTACAATGAATTTCCTTTAGACGTGAGAAAAAATAAAAACGTATTATATTTCTTTTTTACTTCAGAAAATATTGTAAAACAAATTCCCATGTTTTTTTGTTTTGTTTTTTTGGGTTTTTTTTGTCGTTTATTTTTTTTTTTTTTTTTTCTTTTTCGTTTTTTTTTTTTTTTTTGTTTTTTTTTTTTTAGATTCGGTATGCATATCATTCTGTCTTCACGTTAATTTTTTTTTTTTTTAAATCTTAGTGTTCTGTTGGAAGCGAAAATGTTAGCAAGTGTATGAATCTTTCGAATTCGAGGTGAAGAGACCATATGAAATTATGGCTTCTCATGCTGTCGGAAAATGTTGTGACTTAAATTTTTCTATCTTTTCTTTTTTTTGTGAACTGATTTGAAAAGTCAGATCTTTTGTTTGGGCTTTGTGAAGTTATGAATACAATCATGGCGTCAGTGGTACTCGTATATACCTGCCTTAAGACTGAATTATTATGATTACTACTATCGCTGCTATTGCTGCTGTTAAATATAGTGTTATTATTCATCGTATAACTAGTTGTTGGATTACTATTAGTGACCTTGTCGCTAATAATATCCATATTACTTGTAACTTTAAAATTATCCGTACTATTGTTATTGTAGTGAATATTAATGTTAATATTAGTACTACTTGCATTGTTAGTTGCGTTGTTGATCAAATGAGTGTTATTGCTGATTTTGCCAATGTTTTTACCATTTGTACTATTACTGTGATTTGTATTAATACTATTACTGTCTGTGTTAATTCTATTATTTTCAGCAAAGTTGTTAGTATTGTTTTCTGAATTTTCGCTGTTTCCGTTATAATCCTTACTAATATTTTTTTTCTCGAGATTACCAACATTTCTGCTAAGACTATTATTGCTAATCCCTCTGCTATTGTCAAGTGTTTTTTTAAAACCGAATGCTTGGATAGCAATGGTGGCAGACGATTGTATCTTGTGCCGTATTGGAAAAAGCAATAGCGGAGCTGTTGTCTTTTCAGAATATAACCGCCACCATTTCCGGCTTATCTTTTCATTTCTAACTGAACTGCGTGAAATGAAGCCGGGTTTAGTCACCACTTTTCCCGCCATAAACCGCGTAGAGATCGTCGTCTGATTAAGGGAATAGTTCACAGGCTCATTTGCCTGTTGTTTTTTCAGCTTTCGCTGCCGCTCCTGAAACTTTCGCTGTTCTTGATGGAACTTCCATTGCTGTTGCAACCTTCGCCGCATTTGCAACCTCCACTGTCGCTGCCTCTGCATTATCCATTGTTCCCGCCGCTGTTGCTGCTGCACTCGACGTTGCACTTCATTCCAACGGTTTTGCACCTTGGGAGATTGTGTTTTGTGTAGATGCAGATTCACATTTTCATTTTGCTCCAAGTATTGAGTCATTTGTTCCGGTGGCTCTTGCAAATTCGTTAAGTTAATGCCTCCCTTGTTGTCCAGCATAGAGACCACATCTTGTCGCACCTCTGAATGTTCAGTGCTCCTCTCCAGTGGCTTTACAGTCGGAATGTTTGCTTCTCGTTCCTTCTCTTCTTTACCTTCCTCTATCAGCGGATCGTTTACATTAACCGTAATTTCATTTGGGGTAGAATATGGAAAAGAGATGCCCCGAATTATTTGTGTGTTTAACTTTGGCATTTTCTGGATATCAATTTTGGAATGGCGCTGAGGGTCTGAGGGTCGTGTCCTTTTATTTGGACCGCGACGAATTTCTCCTAACCAGAGTCTGTCTTGAAAAAGACAACTTCTGTCGTACTTCCAGTTACAAAGGGCACCGTCGAAAATAAGACCAAATGGACATTTTTGCCGGTAAGGATGACCATTTGCACACAGGTAAAAATGCTCGCAAGAAAATGGGTCTGCAAATAGACCTACGGGGGAGGAACACGTAAAACCTGTAAGATAAAAAACATAAAAATCAATAGAAAATTTGGTTTAATCTAAAAGGTTGCAATACAGATATATAGGCAATAAATTTCATTTTTTATACAAACGCACCGTAACCGTATACGTGTATGTATGTGTGTATGCGTGCGTGTGCTTATGTTTTCATCTATTTATTTGTGTATAGTAAGTAATAAATTCTCTTAACCCCAAATTTCATTATGAGTGATAAAAAAAGAATTGCTTAATAATCGTAATCACCATACTCTCAGGCGGAATCTGAAGTTCTTTAATCAAATAGCATAATAGTCCTAAATTTGAATGTTTCGGACGAATCAGCCACCATAATAAAAATTACAGAAAGGTTGGTCTCTTCTGTTAACTGATAACCATTAATTTATCGAAGGTATAATTTTTGGTCGCTTGGGCAAAACCTAATGTCGACTGTTGTTTTTATACTCAATTCAGTGCCTTTTGTGATCTATTGTCTGATTTTCAGTGAATGTTTCGCAAATAACTTACGTTTATGTTCTTGTGTTTGTGTTGATTTGTAGTTACTGTGAAACTGTCTATGCAGAAATAATCGTTAAAAACACCTTGTATTATGTTGAACAAAACAAAACACATTCACTATGACACTCTCAGAACATTATGTTATGCTTAGAAATACAAAAACACGACACTACAACCTGTTTTTTAGTTGAGAGAACTCACTTCATTCAGAAATCGAACCAATAAAAAAATATCAAACATAGAACAATTCATAAAGTGTACTGGTCAAAAAGAAGAAAAAAAAACTAGTGATTGTTGAAATTCAGATAGGCTAAAGAGAAGGATGTGCAAGTGGTGTAATAGTTAACGACACGTTAAATGGAATCGGTGAGCAAATTTTTGGTCTAATCTGTTACGTATTACTTTCACACAAATACCCTTAGGGAAAGTACGAATCCATATTTCAAATGCTTTAGTGAAATCAATAACGGTTATGTACACTAGATTGTTGCAATCTATCAACTTTTTAGCATTTTTCTAAAGCAATTATTTATTTAATATTCCCTCTGTGTTTTTTATACTTAAAAAGATGATGATCGTCTGTAATGTATTCACTATACACTAATTAGCCGGTCTATAGGTTTTTGTAATTATGATAGCGTCATGTTTAAACGATCTTTATGCCTCTTTTCCAGAATCTCAAGCTATCAACCAGGAAGGGAGACTATTAAACATAATTGCTTTAAAAGATTATCAAAAGCTGATAGATTTTAACAATCCAATTTACACGAGCTTTATTGAATGGGGTCAATGAAACAAAACCTAATAAAAAAAATGCATAAATCTTCTGAAATTAATTCTATTCATTGATATGTTTTTACAGCTTATCAGCTTTTTTCCATTTATTTAAAACCAGAAAATATTTTAGATTGCATTTTCGGAGATAATAATGGTTTACTGATAAAAGTCCTACTAATTAACTCTTAGCTGAGAGAAAAGCTGGATTCATACGTTTGCCAAGGGTATTTGACCGTAAGTGAATATTACGAACCAGACTGGAATTAGAACTCGGCTCTCCAATTCCAAACGGTGCAAGCTTACAGCACCTGATATCCGCAAGCGGTCACCAATCGGGGTACAGCCCTGGTTTGATGATGCTTAACTTGGGTGATCGTACGGGAACCAATGTTTCAATGTGATATGGCAGCTATAAAGATAACCCAGTTATAACTGACAGACAATTTATACTTATTATGTGTGGGGTGTAGATGAGCGAGAGACCAACAAAACTCCTTTCACACCAAAGATGAACTGAAGGCATTAATTTTGTCAGCATTCACCACCTTAAGTAAGGAGACCATCCAGAAGAGTTACAGGAAATTCCGAAGTCGTCTGGTGGTCGTGGTCGATACCAATGGCGATTTTATTGAATGAACTTACTCTTTAGTATTTATTTTTGTGTAATTTTGGTAAATGTATCTGTTAAAATGAAATGTCAGTGTTATTTTCATTTTTGTGTAATTTACACGACAATTTATCCATCGCACTCTGTATTCACGAATGCATACGACGATAGACGTAATATAATACACTGTTTAAAATAAAAATATAGTATCTATTACAAATACGATTAAACATAAAATCCATATATATATATATATATATATATATATATATATATATATATATATATGGATTTTATTTATTAATCCGATATATTTGTATTACTTCGGATGTTATTTTTATTAGATATCCATATTTGAATAGACGTTCTATTTATTATAAACAGTATTTTATTTCGGTCTGAATATTCGAGAATTTTATTAAAGAAAATATTAAAAGATTCAGGTTTCTCCTCTGTTAAGCAATATTGAACAGGGTTAGCACCTAGCTGAGTGACTAATCAGGAACAGTATACGCTGTAAGCAACTTAAGTCTTTATATCAGACTAAGCAAAGGTTACTAACGAAGACGCTATAAAAACGTATAATTTGAACCAGACAAATACGTGAATAATAATGTGGCTGTAGAAGGAAAACAAAAGCGATATAATAGTTTCGCTGTATGAAATTCCACTTATATTTGGCTAGGCATATAATTCCATTTTATCAATGACGTGCGGTGAGTTTTCTTTCTGGCTATATCACATTGGGATTAAATTTAATGGTATTTTTCTTTTCATTTTTCCTAAGATTTTTTTAAAAAATATAATCAATAGTGACGCAGTACGAAACGAAGTATATGACTATTTATTTTGCTATAAGCAAATGAATGTCTGGTCATAAGAAGTAGAGAGTAACATGCATGCCCGGAAGACACGACTCTACTGATCATATATATATATATATATATATATATATATATATATATGAATGATATAACGATATATAATTTTGTATAATTTTATATATCAACAATATTTAGAAAAATATGACAAACTCGTTTCGTGCGCATGTGTAGACGTGGCAACGTCAACAATGCCCAGTCCGATGAAATCCTAATGGATGAAACGCGTCACAAAAAATCCTTCCAGTTTGTCATATTTTTCTAAATATATATTCCTAAGTTCACGTTCTCGCTATCTATATATTAATGCATTAATGCGATTGTACCTATATATGTTGTGTGTTACTCTTGATGTCACAGACAGTGAGTGCGAAACAGAAAGAGAGAGGGTCATAGTAAAACAGAAAATTAGAAAATGAGACGTAGAGAGACAAAAAGAGAGCGCGACACAGAGAAAGATTGGAGGGGGGGTCACCTTAGATAAAGGCAGTTGTTTGTAGTGAAGGGTTAAATCGTTTCGTTATCTAAAGATCTGTTGAGAAAAAATTCGTCCCTAAACTGGAAGTGACATTTTGAAATTAAAATCTTTCTTTAAAAGATATGATCATTTTGTAATAATAAAGACAGATGGTGTTTTTTAATCAAAAATCCTATTAAACCCAGACTGTGTTGAGCGTCCGAGAGACAAACAGAAAGGCAAGGAAAGATAGAGAATAAAACAGAAAGTAAAACAGAACGTAAAGAATTCCAGAGATTCATCTTAGATAAAGGAAGTTGTTTGCAGTGAGGAGTTAAATCCTGTATTGTGACAAATTTATCCCGGAACTTTAAGTAACCATTTTAGATTAAAAACTTTGTTCTTTTTTAATCTTATCTTCGCGAATTTTCTATAGACTGAAACAAGCCAAACTTTATTCCGCATCCAAGAGAGAAAAAAAAAGACAGGAGCACCGAGAATAAAGAAGAAAAAGTGAGAGGGAGATGTAGAGAGACAAGAGAGAGAGTGACACAAGAACTGGAGTGGGTATTTTACATAAAGGCAATTGTTTGCAGTCACGGGTTAAATCCTATTTCGCAATCTAACGATCTATTGAGGACATTACAATAATTTTAATAGAGACTATTCAACTTTTCTTGTAACTATCTGGGAAGAGTCATGGGTTGAAAGTTACAGAATGCTGAATAAAATATTTATTAGCAAATCCTTGTCATTTACATGGATCCTGTTGGTATATATTACTGTATCAGAAGTAATTAAGATTCACAATGCTTATTCGATGTCCACTCAGAATTTTGTGAGTCGTCATCTATCATGAAATTGGTTAGAATGATTGTATTAATTATTGCAGAATATCTAATTTATTTTATATATATATATATATATATATATATATATATATATATATATATATATATTAAGACATTTTATGTTTATACATGCTTTTTATAGATACAAATATTTAAGTAAATAATAAACAGTGTTAATAACATTTACCGGTCTGAATGTCCGAGAAATTTTCATAGAAAATATTCGTTCTCCGACAGGAATCGAACCTTTTTCCTATACGGAACCGTCATTTAGCCTAATCGTTCCATTAGCAAGGTCGATTTTACTGTTTTTAAACTTCAATCTTCCATGAATCTCTCACGTACATTCATATCTGCTCAAAACGTATCCAAATGTAAACAAATACGTCACACATTATGAAATGAACAAATTCTCCGTGGCTCGATCGATTAAGGCACGTCAGGCTAAATGACGGTTCCGTATAGGATACAGGTTCGATTTCTGCCGAAGGACGAATATTTCTATGAAAATTTCTCGGACATTCAGGCCGGTAAATGTTATTAATACTGTTTATTATAAAACAGAGCATTTACTTAAATATTTGTATCTATAAAAAGAATGTATAAACATAAAAATGTCTTAAAATAATTGTCGGACTTTGTCCATTTCATAATGTGTAACGTGCCATTAGGATTACCAAGATACGCAGGTGCGTACCCTGACAAAAAAATTTGGTTCTTTATCAAGACACACTGAGTATTTCTACCTCGGATCACAGTGTAGTCCGATCCCGTTACGCTTTCCGACCAAGAAACCTAAGTAATATTAAGCGGGAAGGGAATGAGAAAAAACGATGAGAGAGGAGGATTAATAAAAGGTATGAAGAAGGTTGCGGTAACAATTTATAGTCAGAAAAGCGGCGTGGAAAAAGGAACTGTCACGTGCCTGTCGTTAACAGCTGTGTTTGATGGAGACAATGTACATCTGAAGAATGACGACAAATGCCGAGGTTAGTGTCGAAGTGAAGATTCGGAGGACAGGACCTTTCGTGCGCCATGCCATAATTGCAAACATAAAAGATGGAGCAGTTTCGTGGATGGCGGAACATGCCGAACACATCCGGACACACAAACCGAGCCAACGCACTACTTACAGCAACTGAAAAAGAAAAAAAAAATAGAGTAGCAAAAAGAGTGATTAATAATAACATTAGAAACTAAACTTTGAGAATTGGATTACCATGCAATACTTAAGCGGTCTATATGGCACTGAATCCTGAACAAGTTCGTTCCAAATGAGAGAAACTTGAAGCAACCGAGTAACGTTCGACTGGCGAATAATAGGGAAACAATGGCAGAGTATATATATATATATATATATATATATATATAGTTTTAAGAAGAATAATTAGAAAGAAACTGTGGTTAACAATAAGAAAGCTGTACCTTTAGACATTATAAGGAAGGAAGGCATAGAGAATTTAACATTCACAGGACACATCGAAGTTAAGAGAAGCAGCGCGCAGCAAGTAACCTATTTGACATTTATCGCAAAGGGAGAAAGCTGCAGGGAACCATTGGCTGAATGGACATGTCACATATAGAGAGAATTTTAAACCTACCGATCTAAATTTTCGCCTATCGCGATGAACGTTTGTTCACTCATAGAGACCCGTATCTTGAAACTCGTACATACAATCCATCGCTAATGATGCTGAAAAAATGGTCGGGTCCCTATACCACTCCAGTAAGTACCTAACTCCTTCTGCTCTCCTCTACTTTTACAAAAGCCAGATCAGGCCAAAAATGGAATACATATATGGACAGGAGCTACTCCGTCTTCACTTTCCAGTTTAAAAAAAAGCGTCTCCACATCCTTGTGAGTGATGAGTTATTTTCCACCCTACAACCCTTTCCCCACAGACGCAACGTCGCAAGCCTCTCGCTGCTCTATCGATGGAAAGTGCTCTGACGAACTACAATCCTTATTTCCCCATTTCTAATCTTCATTAGCCAAGCCACGCCCATTGTAGCGAACCAGCCTCATTCCCTTCATACTCCATTGGTGAGATCTAAGTTCCACTCGAGTAGCTTCTTCCCATGAACCACTGCTCTGTGGAACCAATTTCCAAGAGGATGCTTCCCGGATCACAACACCCTTAACATGTTCAAGCCTAAGGTAAACCATTACCTTTCCCACGTGTCCTCATAAACAGTATTTCTTACTCTGAAATCCTCTACCTCGAGTGGCGCTTGGGACTTGTACAGGGAAAACATTATTGTGTCATATTAAAAACAAGTAGATGAAGTGTGATTGACGAAGAAGTTATCTTAACTTAGACACGATCGCTGCAACAGCGGCAATACATGTGGGGCTTCAACGACCATACATTGATGTGCGAATTGAACAAAGCAAATTGGAAAGTACTGACCATACTGTCGAGTAAATAATCTTAATGATATGCGTAATGATTTGATTCAATGTAATTGAAGAAACATCCTGTACCAATCCCTAGTTCCACCAGCTTCGGACCTTCACAGCTAGGACCCGCCCTGCCATGTTCCCGGTGGCAACCCGTCCTCATTCCATTTGTGTTCCTTTCATAGAAAGCAAGTTCCATTCAGACAGCTTCT